CATGTAATAGTTTTAGCCAAAGCTACCATCATCACAGTGGTAGCAATAATTATGACATTAAAAATAAAAATAGTAACAATAATAAAGTACTTTTGATATGAAAAACGATACCATTTTTGAAAGTCCAATTTCTATATTTCTCAGCAAAATGAATACATGTTAACTTTTAGAGAAAAAATGTTCTCCTTCCTCACTCAACACATAATTTTTTAGCCTTCTTCACCCTTACCCCCGTCCCCATGGTCACCCACACACCCTCAGCATGTCATTATTCCATGTGCTCAGACCACGCTGTCCACTCCAAACTCATGAGCAGTGATCTGTAACTTGTACATAGTGAAATAAACAAGGAATTCTGAGTTCCAGAATCTTACCTCATCTCTGTTCAAGTCCTAACTTCTCCTTAGCAAATTGTGCAATCGTAACTTCTCTATGTCTGAGTTTCCTCAATCTGAACAGTTTGGGATAAAATATGGGGCCTCCCAAAAAGTGACACAGGAGAAGCACAGATCCCATTACTTAAATACACAGTGACCCTACTCTCGATAGAAAATAGGGGAATTATCTATAGATGCTTGAAATGAAGAGATTGCCTGACTTTTCTTAATTACTCAAGAATTAATCACCTGCCCATCTTTACATCAACGAGAATTCCTGTTTCTTTTCTCCTCTTCTGGGTCTACTGCCTTTTGGCAATGTGAACAAAAAGCAAACATAAAGTCCATAAAACTCATTTCATATTTTAAGGCCCTCTGATAAAGATTTCCAAGAAGAGAAGGTTGAATTTAAGGGAGAAAATGGGATTGAGGATAAAATGTAAATTTAAAGGATTCAGGCTGATGTCCATCCCCATTTTCATGGATAATCAAAAACTGAGCCGTTAGACATAATTTTTGTAACTAACTGGCAAGATGGCAGACTTAAAAACCCTGAGCTTGTCTCCCTACCTGGAATGTGNTACCATAGTAGGTGCCAAATAAATATATATGGGATAAATAAATGAAAGGAATCTGAATTGTAAGCTTTTAATAAAAGAAAAGTATCAGTTTCACAAATATAATAAACTCATGCTCTGACAATGGGAAAAATAAACCTCTTCAGGTATTTAACTATTTGCTGATGAAAAAGTAAAATGATTTTAAATACTAATTTTAAAATAAGAGCCTCTGAGATTCTTCTTGCGGACACCATAAGCCAGAATATAATAATGCTAAGAGCTGCCACTGAAACAGTAAGAAATTCCATCATTTTCTTTCTCAGTACTCTGTGATATAAATGCTTTTGATAGATGAGGGATCTGAGACAGAGGAAGATTAAGTCATTAGCCCCAAATCATCTGATTAGCATATGGTGAGGGCTGGATGCCAGCCAGTCCTGTCTGACTCCAGAGCCAAGCCCTCAGTCAGCAGGCAATGTGGCCTTGCAGTCAGGTTGTCTGTCCTGCATAGCTACTATCTTGCAGATAAGCATTACGCTGCAATATTGGTTTCCTGCATTTTCAGAAGACTGTAGAAGGGAATTAAGATAACCTCTTAGCTTTTCAATAATTTAGACTGAAGAAAACTCTTGACCAACTTATTTTTTAAAGACTCAAAGGGAAGTTTTCCAACCATGAATCTTCCAGTGTTTGAATTCAGATTCTGCAACACAAAGCATGCTCTAATTCATTATGTTTAATACCAAGGAATTAGAACCCAGATTTCCCTAGTACCATGATATTTCACGTAAGGTGCCAGATACATCGTTTTCAACATCTTATTCTCTATCTCGCTCACTGGCTCTCTTCTCACTAACAGCTACTCCTCTGGGAGACGGCCATTTCCTTGTTTTATTCAAGATAAAAGGATTTTTTCCACTCTGACAATGGGAAAAATAAACCTCTTCAGGTATTCAACTATTTGCTGATGAAAAAGTAAAATGATTTTAAATACTAATTTTAAAATAAGAGCCTCTGAGATTCTTCTTGCGGACACCATAAGCCAGAATATTATAATGCTAAGAGCTGCCACTGAAACAGTGAGAAATTCCATCATTTTCTTTCTCAGTACTCTGTGATATAAATGCTTTTGATAGATGAGGGATCTGAGACAGAGGAAGATTAAGTCATTAGCCCCAAATCATCTGATTAGCATATGGTGAGGGCTGGATGCCAGCCAGTCCTGTCTGACTCCAGAGCCAAGCCCTCAGTCAGCAGGCAATGTGGCCTTGCAGTCAGGTTGTCTGTCCTGCATAGCTACTATCTTGCAGATAAGCATTACGCTGCAATATTGGTTTCCTGCATTTTCAGAAGACTGTAGAAGGGAATTAAGATAACCTCTTAGCTTTTCAATAATTTAGACTGAAGAAAACTCTTGACCAACTTATTTTTTAAAGACTCAAAGGGAAGTTTTCCAACCATGAATCTTCCAGTGTTTGAATTCAGATTCTGCAACACAAAGCATGCTCTAATTCATTATGTTTAATACCAAGGAATTAGAACCCAGATTTCCCTAGTACCATGATATTTCACGTAAGGTGCCAGATACATCGTTTTCAACATCTTATTCTCTATCTCGCTCACTGGCTCTCTTCTCACTAACAGCTACTCCTCTGGGAGACGGCCAGGAAAACAGCTACCAGAAGAGTATCTGGTATTTAGAACGTCAATATCTGGGAAGTGCTTCAGACTTGTGTTATTTGACTTCCTCCTTGTGGCTGGTTGTGTGATCTTTCTGCAAAGAAAGCCTGGAATAATCCATAGTCAGAAGGTCAAGGATGAACAAAAGGTATCGTAGAGGAGAGGACAGGAAAGAGGAAACGGGTGGTAAAAGAAAAAAAAGTAGAAAAGACCAAGATGAGGTGATGTCCATAGGAATTCCCTAAGCCATGCTGAAGCTTATCTCTGGTGTTTACATTGCTGGTTGGGGTTTGCTTGGAGAAGCCCAGTGGCAGAATGAAATGTGTACACAGATTTGCACATTGATCTCTCTTCCTTTTTGGATGGCCATGCTAGGATACAAAAGAGGCAGAGAGACAGAACATGGTGCTCGATCATCCCTCATTACCCAGAGAAGGGACTAGCTATGGCAGGAACACACCGATAGTGAGAACATATGTAACAGAAGATCAGAGGCCTCCAAAACACATCTTTATTCCCTTTCATCTGCTACCACGCACCCCTGGCAACCTTCTGATAACGATTCGGCTCCTCATGTAATAGTTTTAGCCAAAGCTACCATCATCACAGTGGTAGCAATAATTATGACATTAAAATGCTAAGCATTCAGTGATTCAGGATTCTTTGTGGTGGTGCCATGCTTTACTTGGTAAAGTAACACCTTGTCATTGCCTGCAGTTCAGTATTGGGGGTTAGACATAGGAACCCTCTTTTGGGGAACTCCGTACTCTCTGGGCCTTTCCTCTCTGGTCTGGCCTCCCGTTCTCTTGTGTTAGTAGAAAGGACAGAGCTTTCAGGTGGGACTTTTTCTACAGCCAAGCCCCAAAAGAGATCTGGAACAACTAAATATTAGGTATGGTCCACCAAACTATTTTTTCTCCTTTAAATTAAAGATCAGTTCGCTTTCTCTCATGTTCATTAAAACATGAGCTATAGAAGGAGAGATGGCAGCACATTCGTACCTGGTCTCTCAGCCTCTCCTGGTGGCCCATGATGGCGGTGGCATGATGGGGGTACTTCTGCTTTAGATGTTCTAGGAAAGCTTCTCTCTTCCTATCCATCTCAGATGTTTGCATTCCCAGGATTTCTTTGGAACTTCGGGGCCCACCTAGAGTGTGTCTCCTCGGGATATTGCGGGAAGTCTTGGAAACTGAACCCAGACTGTTTCCATTAGAAAGGCGTTCCTTGGTTCTGCGGCATTCTGCATCTTCTAATGACGTTACATGCAGATTACTTTTTCCTTGTTCTGAAAGACAAAAAAAAAATACAGTCTGCAACTAATGATTTCACACTAGAAATCTCATTTACAGAACACCAAGAGGGTTTGTGGCAGCTGTTAATGTATGAATATAACTTAGCAAATCATTTTTCTTTTTTTTTTTTTCCTGTGGTAAGAAGGGAAAAAAATTCACAATCAAAAGAAATGTGAAAAATCATACTTTAGAAATAAAGATGTTGCAGCAAAACTCTGCTGTTTCTGAATCTCTTTCCCTGAGGTTATTGAAAACAAGAACACTTGGTCAAACTAATTATTTGTAGTCAACTGGGTTATACCTTAACCTTGTCTGTAATTACAGAAACGCTAACTTCGGTGATTCTGATTATTTCTGTATCTTTAATTACAGTTTCATTCTGGTAACAGGATTTTTATATTTTTATAATCTGAAGATGATTTCTGAAACATTTGTTTCATCACCAAAAATAGCTATCACCCTATACATAAGTCAGATAATCACTGACACATGTGAACCATTTGAAAATTCTATTTCTCCTTATTGGCATAAGCCTTGCAAACATAAGAATATTATTAGAGGGCTGGCTGGTTAGCTCAGGTGGTTACAGTGCCACCTTGTAACACCGGGGTCAAGGGTTCAGATCCACATACCAGCCAGCTGCAAAAAAAAAAAAGAATATTATTAAATGTAATAATCAAAGGGATATAAAGGTTTAGACTCATTTTATTCGAGTGGGCATTGTCTAAAACTCACAATGAAAGGAAGCGCTATGGTGCGTTTTGATAGCCTTGACCTAGATATACTGCCTCTGAGCTGGCCTTAAAAGGACAAATTGGCTTCTACTGAGAACAGATCAATTAAGGCATGCAATGTCAACTGTTTAGAGTGTAGGACATGTGTAGGGAATCTCCATTCATTCTCAGTGGTTGAGAAGTGGGGTGTCAGGTTTGAATATTCCAGTTAACTGAGAAAAGAGAGTTACTTCTTTAGAAAACCAGATTAGGAAGAGAAAGTCAAGAACATTCAGAAGCACTGTAAGAGCTGGACAGGTTCTCTCCACGGAGCCAAGTTCTCTTCTCAGAGAGCAGTTGCTATCATACGGTATTACAGATGCGCAGAATAATGTGTCCTTGTCCACTGAGTACCCTGGAAAAAGCTCTAGGTGGGGTCTCAGGAGTCCTGGCTTTAATTCCAAATTTAAAACAAACAATTTTACCTCTCCCAGCCTCATTTTCTTCATTAATAAAATGAGGATGTTTGGTCTAGCATTTGATACTCAAAGAGCCTCTTACTTCTAAATCCTTTAAATATATTCTAAATTTTTTTTTAAAAATGAGTTTTCAAAAATAGTTTATTTGCCAATTATTCATCTTTTAAGTGCAGAAAAATAGATTTTTTTGAGAGTTCAGCTCATTCCTATTGTTGTTGTTTGTTGCTTTTTTTTTTTTTTGGCAGCTGGTACAGGCCAGTACAGGGATCTGTTGACTTTTAAATAGATTTTTAAGATGACTTTTGGCATCATTAAAATAATGTATTTTTAAAATTATTCAGGACAACTAGATTAAGTAACAGTATCAAGTTATTGGAAAGATGATTTCTTTATTTTTTATTTTATTTATTTATTTTTTTTCGTGTCCGGCAACGGATTGCAACCCTCAGTGTCGCGCCCGCACTGGACCGGGAATTAAGTAACAGTATCAAGTTATTGGAAAGATGATTTCTTTATTTTTTATTTTATTTATTTATTTTTTTTCGTGTCCGGCAACGGATTGCAACCCTCAGTGTCGCGCCCGTACTGGACTGGGACCGGCAACGGGATCGCAACCCTCGGTGTTGCGTCCGCACCTCGCTCAGCCAGTGAGCAGGAACCGGTCTGTATGTGGGATCCGAACCCTTGGCGGGAGCACTGTAGCAGTGCGCCACCGGGCCGGCCCAAAGATGACTTCTTTACACAGGCATAACCACATCCATACACATACACTCGTAAGGATAAATGTTCACTCATATCCAGTTCCAAGAACAGGGGCAGAAAGTCGCATTCTGCCTTATTATACCACGCAGACTCACAGGAACTATTCTATTTCATGCAAGGATGATCAGAAGAGGTCAAGACAGCCAGAACAGTAACCCCCCAGAGACTGTAAATAGTTTTCCACTTTCTTCTTTGAAATAAATTGGGAAGAGAGAAGAACAGGGGAGTCATGGAGGCCATTGTCAATCTTCTGTCAGTGTTAACCTGGGAGTGGCTCCAACTTACTGGACTCTCTAAATCCGCATTCTTTTCTAACACTTTTCACTAGGAAAGTCACGTCAACCTTACATTGCTGTTCCATTCTTTCTCTTTCTTGTGGATTTTTCTAAAATGTTGTCAGTTGCTGTAATGTGATTTGGAAAAAAAGCTGCAAACAGCACCAACAGTTAATGGGGCTGGAAGGCTCAGTGCACAGTCACCTGGCAGACATTTAATCGCCCTTAGCCCTCTCCTTCCCTATTACTCCCCTTCCGCCTGTGCCTCTCACCCAACTCTCTGCTCTCCCATCTGCCTCCCATTCTACCCCTAGGCACCTGCTCCACTTTTGCCAGTACCCAGAACCACCCAACACCCCATGCCGAGCAAAGCCACCTTACACACTTCCTGGTCACCGGAGCCTTCTCCCCAGTAAGGTTCAGCTTTTGGGAGCTGCCAACTCCCACACCTGAGGAAGAAAGGACGACTCTACCATTCCAGCCATTTGGGGAGAATGTGGTCTTTCAGCAGAGGAGAAAAACTAAGCCGGGTTTCAAACAACAAGAGTGGAAGCAGGCAGAAGATACTTAGTCCAATTCCATAGCTGTCGAGTCAGAGATCCCAGACCCGCCAATTCCTCATTATTCACATGAACAGAGAAAACTCAAGTGTCCATTATCCAAGCCATCCAAACAGAAACGCAACTCTATTTCATGTTTGCTCACATTTAAACATGGGTGTGTATAGCTGTTGGCTATTCTGGGAATCCTTGTGAAATAAAATAATGAAGCCGTTGCTTGAAGACAAGGCTTAGGCCATGCTGAAAGGCAGCTCTGTTTCCTCTTCTTACCCTCCCAAGCTCTGCAGAGCCCACAGCAACTCCTGGTGGCTTACTCCAGGCAGGGCAAAGAGCAAAACAGGGGCTATAAGCCCAGAACAACCTCTTAAACATTCCCTGGAGTGGGAGTGAGGACTAGGAAGACAGGAATGAATGTCAGAGAGCTGCTCTTCAGTGTTCCCACGGGCTTCGGGATATAGGCATTCTGGAAAGTAAAAGTAGAAAGTGGGGGCTGGGCAGATAGCAAGTAGGCAGAGGATTATGGCAGACAGGGCATCCAGAAGGAGATAGCCACGCAGCGAGTTCTGCAGGCAGGTGACTGCAGGAGCTGCCAAGGCCAGCTTCTTTGCCATGACTTGGGTTACTCTGGCTGGGTCAGCTGACCCGCAGCAGGGATTTCAGGCCTTGTGTCACTCAGGCATTCCACACCTGCCAGCAACAGTGATCATGGCTTCCCTGAGACTTTATTCCAGGGTCAAAACCAAGTAGGCCACAGACTCTTACGGAAGGCATCCCTCGCTTCTTTATAGTGGCTTTTGGTTAGCTGTCTCTAGATGTAGCTTCTTAAATTGTGCTGAGATTCCCTGTGCTGGTCACAGGGAACAGCATGGGGAGTTGCTATTTCATCTGTTTGTACAACCTCTCCAGCCCTCTATATGCCCAAAGCATAGTGATTGAACAGGAGGAGCCTCCGTGGGCCACCCAGGAGATCCACCTGGCTAGGAACATCACAGTCCACTGTATATGAGAAAGAAATTAACCTTGATCACGCAAAACTACCAAGACTAGGGGGTTGTTACAATAATTAGCTCATGTAACTAATATATATATTCTGTTGGGGGTCCACAGGGCTCCTCAGTTTTCCAGCTCCCTTGTTAATATTATAAAGATCACCACTGTATATAAATTGGCACAGAAATTACAGCTGAAATCAGACCATAATATTCCTCTAAAGAATCATACACATTTAAGTCAATGATGAAGAGGATTTCGGAAGAGGCTTTAGACAAAATAGGAACAACCTCTCCCCTACCTCGAAAAGCAATTTTGTGTCAAGTGTTGATTAAAGTTCATTCATTCGTTCATTCATTCATTCGTTCACACAAATATTTATTGAGTGTCTGCTCCATACACTGAAAAAAGGAGACAGAGTGGTGAAATAGTGATAAATATAAACTAAATTCTCTTCCCTCATAGGAGTCCTCATTATATTTAGGGAGGCAGACAACAAAAAAAATCATATGTAATATAAATGTCATGCAGTGATAAGTGCTTTGAAAAATAAAACAGTATAAGGGGACAGAGACTGATGGGGCTATTTTAGAGGAGATTCTGAGCACAGACCTGCATATCTGTGATCTCCCAGGCTTGTGCTCCCTGGGAGGCTGCCAATCAGGCAGTGTGGGAGGCAGACAGGTAAGCTGACAGCAGTTCACCTGCAAAGACGTTTCAAGACCTTACAGGCCAGAGCAAAAGCAGACGCCTCAGGGCTGCTGTGGGCAGATACAGGTGTCTCAAGGAATGCCTATCCCCAGGACCACACCGAGGAGACCTCAGCCTTGAAAGGGAGCATGATATCCTGAGACTCAAATTCCACCAATAATTATTGAGTGCCTACTCTGCAAAATGCACTATGCAATACACTTCCACGCTATTATTTACCTACTAGCTTGGCTATTCGAAAAGCAGACGCCTCAGGGCTGCTGTGGGCAGATACAGGTGTCTCAAGGAATGCCTATCCCCAGGACCACACCGAGGAGCCCTCAGCCTTGAAAGGGAGCATGATATCCTGAGATTCAAATTCCACCAATAATTATTGAGTGCCTAATCTGCAAAATGCACTATGCAATACACTTCCACGCTATTATTTACCTACTAGCTTGGCTATTCACCCATGCAAACCTCATTGATTCGAGCTACTCTTGTGGCAACCATATGCCCCAGTTTGCTACAAGAGTTCTGGGTTACAACTGTTGTCCCAGTGAAATTATTTATAGTGTTCCCTTTCACTCCCAGAAGTGTCTTGGTTTGGACAATAAGTTACATGATCACTCCAGGGATCCTTATCTACAGTAGATTTAATAAACTCAGAGTTTCATTCAACAAATATCTATTTAGTGCCTTCTATGTGCCTGCTGCTCTGTTAGGTGCCGGGAATGCAAAGGTGGATAAGACATGGTCCTTGCCCTCGAATAGCACATTGTAATTTGGTGAAACAGACACATAAGCAAATACAAGAGAGTGCAATGATAGAAGTGGACATTATGGGTGATGTTAGCTCAGAGATGTTGCCCTCCCTTGTGGTCTTCGTGCTGACTAGTAGATTACAGCATCATATTCACCTGGAACTTAATGGGATCTTTAAAATCTAACCTGGATTCTTCCCCCGCTTTTGCAATCTTCTCAGTCTCTCCTTCCACTCTCCCTGACATCTAAATGCTAGCGTGCCCCTAGCTGGACTTTTCCTTCTGCACACAGACTCAATCCTAGAGGACCTCTCAGTCCCCAGTCCTCTCTCCTCAACTCCAGTCACCAATTTCCAAACGGCCATCAACATATCCACCAAGATGCCTGATAAACATCTCAATCCTAACATAGCCACCCCATCCCCAAACCATAAACACACTTTCATCTACTCCTCTCAAACGCTTTCCCACTTAGGTAAAGGACAATTCAATTCTTCCAGCTGCTTGGACCAAAATTTTCATTTTTTATTTATTTTTGGAGGCTGGCTGTTACAGGGATCTGAACCCGTGACCTTAGTGTTATAAGGCTGTGCTCTAACAACTGAACTGACCGGCCAAAGTTTCTGAAGTCATGTCTGACTCCTTTTCTCTTACTTCCCATGTCCAATCTCTAGGCCAATTCTTTTGGCTTTACCTTCAATACACATCTAGAATCTACCTTAACACCACTTGCTTATCAAGCTGGTGCTGTTTCTTGCCTGGGTTACTGTGGAAGCCACGTAACAGCACCGCTCCCTCCCCCCGCCCTGGCCCCACCTGGGTTATGATCAATACAGCACCCACTATTACCTTTTAAAAGACAAGTCCAGGGCTGGTCAGTTAGCTCAGTTGGTTAGAGCATGGTATTATAACACCAAGGTCAAGGGTTCAGATTCCTGTAAGGTGGACCAGCCACCCAAGAAGTAAGTAACTAAGTAAATAAATAAACAAATAAAAGACAAGTCCCACCTGCCAGTGGCTCCTCACCCCCCTTGAAATAAAATCCCACAACCTAACCGTGGTTTCACAGGCCCTACATGATCTGGCCTGGAATGACCTCTCAACCTCTTTTCCTCCCATCCTTCTCCCATGTTCTTGCTGTTCTTTGAACGTATTAGATCCTGGTCTTCCCTCCCTCATCTATGCTCAAATATTACCTTTGTGAGGCTTTCCCAGACAATCCTACTTACAGTTTCACTCCCCACCCCTCACTCTCTATTCCTTTTCCCTGCCTTATTTCCCCGATAGCCTTATTTCTTCTATCTGATAGGGATGCCAAATAAAATACAGGATGCCCAATTAAATTTGGATTTCAGATAAACAATGAATCATTTTTAGCATAAGTATGTCCCAAATATTGTATGGGATATACTTATACTAAAAAATTGTTTATTGTTTACCTGAAATTCAAATTTAACTGAGCATCCTGTATTTTTATTTGTTAAATCTGACAACCCTGCCATCTCACATGCTATATATTTTACTTATTTGCTCACTGTCTGCCTCTACCACTCCACCCACCCCCTAAACTTGGCCCTTGGAATAAAGTTCAATAAAGGCAAGTATTTTTAGTCTGCTTTGTTTGCTGCTGGATCCCCAGCAGCTAAAACAGTGACTACTACATAACAAATGCTCTATATTCACTGAGTGAATAAATGAACAAAGTAAGCATATTGTCTCAGTCTGACCATCTCCAGCTTCAGAAGCATCTTTGAATGCCGTGATTGCTTGAAAGTGATTTCTTAAATTGGTCCCATTTTAATTGGTCCCTCTAGAATCTGGGTCATTTCTTTCAGGCCAGGCCCAGGGGGGTTAAATTCCTGTTGTAGGTTCCTGTCCTGTCACAGGGGGTGGAGGTTATCGAGCTGGACTCCACTGACCCAGGTGCCCTCAAGGAGAGTGCTCTACTTTGGAAGCACAAACACAGACATCTAGACTGAAGACAGAAAAACTCAGATTCTCCAGCGTCTACTCATTTAAGGGGGATGGGGTGGGGGTGGGGGGTTCTATCTCTTGTACATAATTGTCTTTTCTTCTGTCTGGCCTAGTTTTGCATTTTCAGGGTGGATGAGTCATGTGTTACTTCCCTTTCACATTTTTTAAAAACACACACCTTTTCCCCTGTGCATAATTCGTACTCCCACGCACAGCACTGCACTCCCGCAGCCTTTTTGTTACTAACTGGCCCCTGGATGAACCTGGGAAAGGTGGGGGCAGAGCCGTTCAGGATTGCAGGGGGCTTATGAATATACTGCCTACATGATACTATATAGTAGGCTCTGGCATCACATAAGCCAGACACTAGAAAGCAGAGAAGCCCTCTGGCCACCCAACCCCACTGAAGTTTCTTTGGAACCACATAAGCTTCTGGAAATTCCCTACGGAAAAGACAAATCCATTATAAACACAATTAAAGGGAAACTGCCTGGAGAAAATTGACCAAAATTGTCTAACAACTCACAACTTTTGAATTAAAATATAAAAAGATTTAGAGTTCTATCTATCACCCAGACGTACAAGTGCTCCCCTGCTGTTCTGATCTGTAAAATAAAACATCTCCAAACTCTGATTTAACTCTACAAAACTGAAAAACTTTGCATCCAACAGGCATTCACCCCATGGAATCCCCCAACCAATGAATGGAGACGCCGCGGTCCTAGAGATAGTTGCACAAAAAACAGCTCCTTTCTCCCCTCGTTGGAGCACGGGAGAAACTATTAAAAGCTGCTTAACGATTTATTTGTCATTGCCTGGAGATACAGGGCACAGTGACCGCTCGCTGTGCTACAAATGTGACATCACTCCGCCACCTCTTTTGCTGCTTCAGAAAATCCTGCCAGAGATAAAGTCAAGCTCAAGAAATCACAGCTCTCTACTCAGTTTTGAAAACGCACCACCCCAACCAAGAAAGAGGCTTTTTTCCCCCTCTGCCAGGCGCCGGGTCTCCAGCTTATAAAAAGCAGCAAGCCGCGAGGGACACGCGTCCCTGTAACTCCATCTTTGAATGACTCTGTTACTTACCCTGCATCTGTCTGCTGTCTGCTGAGTAAGGAAGGCACGGCTCACATTTCTGGCTTTCATTTTCTTCCATTGTCCCTGCCTGCCGCACAAGCTCCTCGCTGCCTTGAAACTTCAGAGCGCAGTTCTAAACGCTCGCAGAAAGCGCCTGGGAGGGGGCCCGGGGCTGGGAGGAGGGGACGGTGCGAAACCCCACCCCGAGCTATTCTCCACTCCTGTGCAAAGTCTCCCTCGCCCGGGAAAACTGCATTCCAGCGCCGGGCCTCCCTCGTCCCCCGGTCCCCCGGTCCCTCCGTCTGTCCGCCCGCCTACGGCTGGTCCCCGAGGACTGGGGGCTGTGCTCCCGAGGCCACGCGCCGCCGTCGGGGACCGGGGGAGGCCCCAACAGGTGACGGCCTTTCCTACCCAGGACTCAGCCTGCCTGCTTCCACCGCCGCAAACTGTGCAGCCGGGGAAGGACAGTCACACATGATTACGGACAGGAACCTTGCTAGAAGCCAGCTCCCTGGTCTCTTTAATCTCAGACGCAGAAGGAGCCTCCGCAGCCAGCTGATAGACATATTATTAATAAACAGCGAACTGCTGAACATCCCAAATTTCAGTGAAATCCTTTTTTTAAAAAGCCAGACAATTTGAAAGAAAGAGTATATGCTGAATGTTGTGAAGTAAACACTTTCTGGCACTAACATTTTAGGGCCTGATTAACATCTAAAAAGAGGTAGTTTAATTTCCACATAGTCGATTGCAATCACTTAATCTGGATTTGAAAGAGTTTTTATTCATTTGCCTTGACTTTCTCTGACTCCTCCCCTTCCCCAACACACACACACACACACACACACACACACACACACACACACACACACACCCTACACCTTGATCACAAATCTGAAAAGTAAACTAATAATTCAACCTTCTAAATCTCTCTAGTTAATTATTTTAAAACGTCTGAAAGGCAATTAAAATGCTTTTCTTTGGATGGGCAGAGTTAGATGCAACATACTTATTCTTCTTTTAAACTACCTACAAATATTTATTTTGTTCTTTACCCAGTCCTTGAAAAACTGGCAAATTTCCCAGGAAGCAAAAATAGAAGGCACAATGTCCATAAAAAAGGATGGGAAAATAATCTAAGCAACATTAGCTCTGCTATTTGAGATATCTAAAAGTAACACAACAACTAGTAGGAAGAGTGATATTTTAATCTGTAGTGACCCTGTCATTTGAGGGAAAAAAGGACAATGGTTAGCCTGTGACCATACTTTGACCCAACTCACAGCCATTCAGGAAAGGTTTTAGATTGATTTAGACCAAGAATGTGTCCAGAACAATGGTTGGCCTATCCTCCAGATTATGACCTTGAGTCACCTGTGTATTTTGGCAGTGAAGGGGACATATTTTGGTGATTTAGGGCATAAAGATGCGGAAATCTTAAAGGACAAAGGATGTAGGCCAAAAGGAAAGTATATATGCCAGAGAGTGAGTTATACCTCATGTTGGGAGGAGAAGAAAAGTGCCTCTCAACTCCTAACAGGACTTTTCTTGAAATCCAAGGAGATGTAGTGAATCTTCCAGAAAATTAAAGCCCTGCCTTGGCATCGTGAAAACGGACAGTTGGGGTTATAGGACAGATAACTCAAGGTCTCCATGACTTTGCAACAGAATTACTTGGTCACCTTGCTTTAAGGAGGAAATAATTTTATCTGGTAGCCTGCAGGTAATATGCCAGATGAATCTTGTTTTAACCTTACCATTTCCTTCAGTACAAAATGTTCATGAAGGAGGGATCTCCTGTGTGCAGGCCCCCAGGTCCTGATTCTTGTATAGCTGTTGAGTTTTGTCTTCAAATTATGAGTGCCAGAGAGAAGAAAGGCGTAGGGAAGGTTAACAATGGGCACCAGAGAGGCAGCCTAAACCAGATGTCCCTAGGCCTCAGTCTCTGATACTAACCCAACTTGCTTTGGTGTGTGAAGAGCCCACTTGTAGCAGCTCCCACCTATCACTTGACACAGGACAGAGGCCAGACTGCCAGGATGAAGGACACAACAGCAGCCAGCAAAGGCAGCCCGCAACACATAGACAGCACCCTGCCTGGGGGCCTTCCTAGCTAGCTCAATCCAGGCAGAAAAGATGCATTTGGAGATGCAGATTATGCTTTCCTAGGGCTGTTTGGAAAGTGTCAGAGCAACCCAGGACCCCTCTGTTGATGCCCAGATGAGCAAAACTGGGGAAGCTCTTCCACCAGGTCTGAACTCCTAGTTTCCAGGCAGCCAGGGAACCCCCTGAGCCGGCCATGTGTTCAAGCTGCTCGGGCCCTCCCCTCCCCCATGGGCAAAGCAGACTGTTGCCTCTGTTAATATTCCATGAAGCCAAACTCTTTGTGGAATGCACAAAAGAAAAAGGCTTTACAAGGGGAATAATTAACATAGCTCATTAAGGATCATGAAATCTAGACATACATTTACAGTAAAGCCTGTTCTCTTGAATGGTTAAACTTTCTGACCATTCTATAGGGAAAAGCTTCTATTGGACTAGTTCCTGGCCTTTTGTTCCTTCTCCTGGAGGGCGGGAACTGAAAACAATTTGAGAAGGCACCGTATTAATGCCATTACACTGACTCTTCCATACATCGCTCCCAAAGCACAGAGACCTTACTAAGATCTTACCAATAATTGCCAGTTTCTCTGGAAAACAGTAGCTGTATTCAACAATCTACATAAACTTGGTAACTCAGATCTTCATCACAAATACTATTATTGTCTTTACTAATACCATGGAATTCTTTCTGGAAGAAACACTATTTGAACTAGAAGTAGGTGTACTTCTTTTTGGTCTCATTTAAATTCTGGCTTTAAAAATCGCTATTATAATTCAATCTGCCTACTGCCATACTTTCAAATTTGCTATGAAAAGCATAAGGAAAACAGGAAGAACTTAAAATCTGATTTTCCTCAAGTCACATAGACAGTGACAATAATGATACTAGGAGACTAAATTTTCAAATCTGTTTCTGTAAACCAGGAAAGGTGCAAGACGATTTCTTGGTTAATAGCATCATATGTTGCAATTCATGACTCAAAATAATCTAACACACAAAACGGGTCATTTAAAAGGAGAGACAAGGGATGAGATGAAAGAGTGCTGTGAAGGCAAATGGTGATTTTGCAGTCGTAACTAGCCTGCTACAGAACCGTACCATTACTGGTTTTGATAATGCAACTTGTATAGCATCTGCCATGACGGGAATTAATCACAAGTATCATAAACAATTGCATATGATTTCTCAACAGGCCTGTTTAATTACAGGCTGTAGAAAGCATGTTAACTTCCTCTATGTAAGTTTTTCAGGAGAGAAGTCATTGCTAGAACCAAGCATAAGTGGAATTCAATATATATTTAATTTTTTTCCTTTAAATCCTATTAAGAAAAAGATAGCTGAAAACAACTTGACATCAGAACACAAAAGAAATAATTAATGCTTGCTGAAGTCCTTAAACCGCAAGGGTAAAACAAAGCAAAACGAAGGGAAAAACAAGTCAACAAAAATTTCAGCTGGAGGTCTCATGCTTGATGTGTTACACGTCACCATTTCTAAGGGACGGGCTGCTGCGTTTCACTCTGTAAGTCAGAAATAAAGGACTTTTAATGACTGGAAAAACATGTTGAAATGGATGATCTGGTGAATGTGAAATGTAGGATCTCTAATCCTACTTTGACAGCAATGTGTCGTGTGGCTAGGGTGACCTTATACTTAAATATAAACCAGAGCACTTGTTAGAGAGAAAGGGGACACTACCAATAATTACAACTGGCAATAAGAAACGACGACTGTCCCTGGCAGACCAGCACAGATGGTCACCTGTGTGTGATCCAAGATAGGCCCTGTGTGCGCCTCAGGTTTCCACATGTGAAAGGAGAATAATAATGCCATTCGAGTTTCCCAACAAAGACTTGAAAAGAGAATTTTAAGCATTAATTAAAGCAAAGGTAATAATTAAACCTTAATTTAAGCATTAAATCATCAGAGGGGTATTACAAGCCCCACCAATAATTTTACATCAGAAAACACAAATCCCACAATATCCTACGTTCCATCAGAATAGACTTTTCAGCTGATCCGAAAGTAGTGAGTCGGTTACAGATGGAACTATTCGTTCTATCTGGGGCGCAGAGGGGGCTCCGAGGATTGAGAGGGCTCGGGGCGCAGAAGCAGCACCGCCCCCGCCCGGAGCGACGCTCTCAGCCTCAGGAAGCCTCCGCACCCTCAAGTTTTATAGAATTCTTGAAAGCCAGTCACGTGCTTCAGAAGTTAAGTATTTTTACAGTGATTTTATTTTTCTCTCCCTACCCCAGTCTACAGAATTTAAGGTGGGGCGGAAGTGGGGTGGGGATGTGGGGGGACTTTCCTTGCAAATGGGAAAAACAGTTTTAAAAATGAAGGACTAATCTCTGGAGCCAAGTGGGTGGACAGGGTGCTGAAATCGGGGGAAGCAGAAGCCCTCCGGCATTTACAAACTATTTGATGGCTCAGCTTCTCTGCCCTAAGCCAAGGTGAATTTTCTGTCTGTCTCCATGTGCTGCTAGAGTTTAAAATTCTTCACTTCCCGGATTATACTGTTTGCTTTTGAAACATCTCCTTTTGCAAACTTTACAGTCTCTGGACTGGACAAGATTTAGTGGGATAAAATATTCAATTACTGGTTGGACCAGGGTTTCTTTAACACAGTATTAGGAGCCTCATTTGTCCAACCTGATTGAATTCATAAAAGTGAAAAGGGTGAAATGTTAAAAAACAGTTTCTACCTGTCCCCACCCCCCACCACCCGCACACACATCTCTCCCATTCCTACACATACCTCCACCCATGTGCACAACACCAGGACTCTGATATGTGCCAAACTGATGTAGTAAGTGGACCAAAGAGAAATTGAGAATATTCCCAGTATGTCACTGCCAAGCCTGACCTTGGTCCACTCAGCAGGGGTCAGCTGGGAGCACTCCTGGTGGGAAATCTTAGGGGAGGGTTCCTTGGGCTAAGGAAGGGAGCAACAGAGTCAGTCAGCTCTTCCCTCT